TCATCACGACCGTCACCACATCCTTCACACACTGTACAGTCCAAACAACGCCAACCACGTTTCACCACCGTTGAATTCAGCTGAAACATTAAAATATTGAGAATATTAACAATGTAAATCATTTACATTTAATGATTCAAGTCGATTATTTATACTTATAAGCTTAGATACCTCATCTAGTTCATGAAATTACAGATCGAAACGTACAAACTGCAATAACAATGATAACAATTCCAATCAACGATAATGACTTCAGAACGATAATGAATTAATAACAAATAACGATAAGGAATTCAGGATTATAGTAATGACGTAAAATCCTAACGAAACTATTTAAAATAAGGTTATCTAAAACAATTTACCAATCTTCAAGAGACCACTTCAATTGAACTAATCAAGAATTGGATGGAGAAAAGAACTGGAATATCGAACCTTATCATGAAGGCCGACGCAGTAGGTATGATAGTTCTGTGCACACGTCGCACAAGCTACCATCGTTCCCTCGGAATCCTTACCGATACTGCCACAGATTAAACATACAGGCATTTGCATGAAGTACGTATGCTCTGATGATGTGACGACCACCGTTCGGATGTAATCATTATCTTCCACTCGATTCTTACTCTCATCCGTCTCACCGTTCTCTTGGTTATGCTATAAGACAATCGATCGTTTTTGATTGATTACTTTGAAATTTTCGCAGAATCACGCAAATTATATTATTTTTGCCACAATTTCATTTCAGCTTTGCATATCTTCATTCATTTTCACTTACTGAATACGCGAATAATGAAATTTTGCACACTTCACCAACACATTCGCAACGAAATTTCGTCAAGATAAATCACATAAAATATCAATGACCATAAAATCTAATCACCTGCTCAGCAGCCTCACGACCGGCAGCACTCGATGCAACAAGCGCCAACATTGACGACGTCTTACCACCTCTGCAATATTTCACTCTTCGGTATAATTTCATTGTAAATCTCCAAAACAAAATTCAACTAAACAAAATAAAAGTGAACACGAAATCGTAACATTTTCATGAAGAAACTCCTCTTCTCTAATAATGAACAATTATTCATTTGAAAGTTTCGTGAACAATAAATTTTCAAAATGTTCATAAATTCAAGTTTCCGGAAGAATTTCAAGTTTTCGAGTTACAATCGA